CACGACGGACAGGTGCATGCACTTGCTGTAATAGTGACCCCGCTGGGAACTGCAAAGTTAGGTGTTGACTCTGGACTTATTAATTTCCAGGTCCTGTAGGAAACCCTAAAGAGATCATGAAGAACTGGAACAGGCAAAGGGAATAAATGGCAAATGGAAATGAAAATAGGCGTAGCATTAGGTGAAGATGAGATGACTATATCTGCAAAGGAAACTTCGGTGTGCTGAAACCTTCTCCATCAGAGCACGCACAGTGAAGGAGGGTCTGTCGCATCGCTGCCCGGCCATGGCCTCAGCAGAGAGGGAGGTGAATGGGGTCAGCGGAGGTCAGGGTCCGCAGCGGTGGGAAGAGGCACCCGGTCCCAGCACCAGGGCACTTCCATGTGGGTCTCCATGAAGAGGCATCGAGCAACACTCAAGAACACCTTTCTTAGCACTTAGCCTGATTTACAACTAGGCCCCATGACAGTTGCTCCTTGGACAGCCTTGGAGGCTAGCCTGGGTTCCCAGCTGCTTCTCCTAGGCAGAGCACCTCAGTATGGGGGATGCAGGCCAGCTTGTCCGTCCACTTCCTGGTGGTTTGACCTGATGCTCCTGGCCATCCTGAGAGAACAGCTGCACAGTCATGGGAAGTGGAAGACCAGGCTCTGGCGCCAGGGCCCTGGAGAGACCCTGGGCAGCAGAGCCCCATCTTTCTCCCAGAGTACTTCCTAACTAAGAGCACCGGCTGCTTGTAGGACCCTGGCTAGGGATGGAAGAACGAGGGGAAAACCAGCGCTCTGACTCCAAGCAGAGAGACATGGAAGGGACCAAGGCACACACCTGCCTCTCCAGGGCATCCCCACCTCCGGCCCTTGCTCTGGCGTCCAGCAAGTCCTTCATCCAGCAGGTCACTTGGCAAGGGGTGAAAGCTTCTTTATCTATTTGTATTCCAGCAAACCAGAGCTCTGGCTCATGGGATGCACTTCCTCAGGTGTCCAAATTTCCTTTTATTTATCTATTTTTTGGTACCAGGAATCGAGCTCAGGACTTTGCACTTGCCCGGCCGGCACTGTGCTGCTGAGCTATCTCCTCAGCCCCTGTTTCCTTTTAAATTGGTCACTGACCCCCTGATGCACATGGGGTGAGCCATTGTGTCCGCTGCTGGGGGAATGCAGAGGCTGGAGCTGTGGCCCTGTCCTTCTGGAGACTCATGAGGGAGAGGTGGTGCTGGAAGGGCATCAAACTGAGGAGTAGACTGGCTGACATGGAGACAGCATTGTGAAAGTGCATGTGCACACGAGTGTGTGCACGAGCAGCACATGTGTGCAATTGTATGAGTGTGTACACTGGTGCACATGTATGTATGCAGGTGTCTTGGTTACTTTTCTCTCATTGCTGAAACAAAATACCTGACACTCAGATTTAAGGGAGGAAAGGTTTGTTTAGCTTACAGTCTGTGGAGGTTTCAGTCCATACTTGGCTGGCTCTGAGGCAGAGTGGCACATGGCAGCCGAAAACAGCAGGCAGCCAGAGCAAAAGGGAGGAGTGGCTGCAAGCAGCCTCTTCCTCTCGCTTACATATGTAAACTATCCGCCCCAGGGCAATGTAGCACTCATAACCATGAATCAAAACTCTAAAAGCCTGCCCCGTGACTGCATGAGGATTTGGGGGACATGCAGACACAAACCATAACAGCAGGGGTATGTGCATGAGTGTGTATGGGTGAGTTGTGTGCATGTAAGAGTGAGCTTGTGTGCACATGTGTTCATACTTGCGAGAATGCCGTGCATAAGAGAAGTGTGTGGAAGTGCATGCATTATGTGTGTGTGCGTATGCACATGTGTGTGCATATGCACATGTGTGTGCATATGCCTGCCGTGTGGGGCTGGGAGGCCATGGGCAGCCCACAGACCCAGAGAGGGCTGAGACGGGCTGGAGTGGCAGTCCCACAGCAGGACAGACCTTGGGCCCTGGGACAGGACCAGGCCAGCTTGTTCGTCCACGTGTGGTGGGCCATCCTCCGAGGTGATGCTGATGACATGGCTGCTACTTGTGGGAACAGCACACCCCCGAGTGCCAGCTAATGCAAAGGGATGACCAAGATGATCTGTTTTACGACATTCTTCAAAAATCCAGCCAGGAAGTCAGCACTTTCCCTTTCAAGTAGGAAAAGCTGATCCCTGATTCTAAGACAGGTCAGTAAAGCGTCTCACTTTAAATAAGGCTTTTGCCCCTCAGCTGAAGTCACTTAACCGGAGGTGGCACAGCCCACTGTAGCTCGGTGCCCCTTTTCTTTCCGTCGGCAGTGTCGTCCAGGGCTGTGGGGTCTCCTGCTCTGCCCAGTAAGGGGCGGGCCCTCCTAGAATCCTAGGGGCCCGGGGTTCAGCAGATTCCTGCAGAGCAGCCTGCATGGGGCGGGCGCTGTGTGGCAGTGTGTGTGGCATCACCGGTCCCTGGTGAGTCAGGCAGTCAGGGGTCAGATGCTGCGGGTATGCTTGTGTGTCCCTGTCCGCATTTACATACTCACACATGCACACATGCATGTACATATTACCTATCTATGTGAACACATGAGTATGCCTGTCTGGGTGAACATGCACATGTGTATACACATGTGCACGTCATCTATGTTTATAGATGCATGGGTGCACACAGATTGTTGGGTGATAATAATGATGTGTGACAGACAGACAGGAGGATGCACGAGGTCATCTCCTCTTCTCTCAGGTGAGAGACAATCTTTTCTCATCTCCATGGTGTTCATGATTTTGTGAACCCCGGGTCTCAGGAGTTCCTGAGCTGAAGGGAGGGAATGCCCTGCCCTGCCCTGCCCTGCCCTGCCCTGCCCTGCCCTGCCCTGCCCTGCCCTGCCTGTAGGTGTCTGCAGGTTTGCTGACTCCAGTCTCAGAAAAAGAATTTTCAGGATGTGTCAGTAAGAGACATAAAGGGATTTATTAGGCAAAAATTTCAAGTATGCACTGAAAAAAAGAGTGCAGGACAGAGAGAAAGAGAGAGAGGGAGAGAGAAAGAGAGAGAGAGAGATTGACTCATATTGGGATCACTTGTGCTTGTCTTGAGAGGTGGAAACCCCGGGAAGGGGTGGCTCACCCCTCAGAAAGGCATTGCCTCATTTTGCTGGTATGGGTCCAGTTGTTGCTGTTTTTAAGATGGATAACTGAAGCATTCTTTGAATTGTCTCAACCCATCCCTTTGCCTTACGATCAGGCTCCTGTTCTTTCTCATGGAAGCCAATTTATGGACTTTCGGTACTGTATTCCTGAGGAGTTTGGGCTTTGATTTTGGTCTGGAAGGCAGGAGTCTCGTTTAAACAAAGGAAGCTGACATGGATGCGGGGTGACTTCCACTGGGTTGTGGAAAGCAGTCTCCTTTAAAGTGCTGTTTTTAGTTATGATCTCCTTGTCTCCTTTCTACCTATCTTGTATTTCTTCAATCCTGCTGGTTCCTCAGAGTCCTTGTGTTCTGAAGCAGGGCTGGGATGCTGGGTGGGGGCTGGCCCAGGATTTGGGGAGTCACTGGCCAGGCCCAGCCTGGGAGTCAAAGAACCCAATTCCATCTCCCCCCGGCCTCCTGGCCTTTTCTCTGCCCTCCTTTACAAAGGGGCTGGGCCTTTTCCTGCTCTTTAGGTTGCTTCATGCTGCCGTTGTCTTTCACTTCTTGGGTCAAGGTTTGAGTTATGTTGCTGCAGAGCTTCTCTTCTTCTCTCTTGCCCCACCGTAGTGCATGTGCACACATGTGCACACACACACACACACCCCATTTTCAGTATTTGACAGAGAGGCGTGGGACACATCCTCTGCGGTCCTGTGTGCATCCTGTCCTCACCCTGGGTGGGGCTGTGGGCACTGTGTCTGCTGCCGGAGCTGCCCCGGGGCCATTCTGGCTCTGTGTGGCCACCATGTGGGATGGGGCGTGCAGGGGCCCACTGAGGAGGGACGGCGGCAGACGGCTGTGTCCTCACGGCCCTGCCGCCTGCTCCACACAGCTGGGCCCGCCATCCTCCATCGCTCCGGTTTGCAAAGTGCCATAGAAATCACAAGGTGCTCACGTGCTGAGGGTTGTTTTCTGCTAATCGCACCATCGTGGTGAGCACGGATGCAGTATCATCAGACCAGCCATTCTGAGCAGCCCGGCCGGCCAGGGCGGGTCTGCTAATTACACTTGTTGTGTTTGAATGGCTTTCTTAGCCACGCTGGCCGCGAAACTGCTGTGGACAATGAAAGAAGCCGTTTCCTTCGCGGCCTGGGTCTGCAGATGGCTGCCCTGTGTGGGAAGCCCTGGGCCCTGAATCAGTCCTTTGTGCGAGCGAGAAGGAAATTTGAATGTTTGAAGCCCCCCACGAAGCTCATCTCAAAGTGCACAGTTCCTGAATAGACTAATTGGGGCCCACAGTCGTAGGAGGGTGTGGTTTGGAGGGACGGAAACAGCAGGCTCTGTCACAGCAGACAACTGGGAGAGCGTGAACTCAGCGGGCGGCTGTGGCCACCTCCAAGTCCCTGCTTCCTGGTCATCAGAGCAGGCTGTCGGCTCCGGGGTGTGCTGGCAGGTCCTCGAGGCCTCTGCAAGTTAGTATTCATATTTCCTGGGTGTCCGTCCTCCTGCTGCAGAGGAGGCCCCCAGTGTTAGTGACCTTCTGTTAGAGGTGGCAGCTGCAGGCCTCATATCAATTGTGTGCGGCGTGGGGAGGGGGTGGGAAGCCGAGTGACAGTGGTGTGGGGTGCACACGGGGTCCCAATCTCTGGACCCAGGCACTAGAGGCCAGTGTGACTTCAGATCCCACGGGCACCACTAGTTATTTTTCCTCTGCCTTCCACACTGGTGTTCCCAAGACACTTGGCTCTTTAGTTAGGCAAAGCCGTGCTTTCTGAATGCACCTGTGTCCTCGGGGCTCACAGCTGTCCCAAGTCCACTGTGCGGTGCAAAGGGAGAGCGCATGTGGACCTTCCTGCTCTCGAAGACCAGACCTAATGTCTGTCCCTCTTGCCCTCCTCTTCCCACAGACGGAGTGTTTGGAAGGTGCCAAAAGGTTCCGGCTCTGGACACATCACGCTATGAAGTATCGCCCGTGGCCCTGCAGCACCTGAGGGTCACCTTGCAGACGCTGTCCCGCACAGGTAGGCTGGGCAGCTGCACCCTCACCCGTACCTATAAGGCCTCTAGGGGTGAGGAGATGGGGGCCCATGAGCCGGGGCCTGGCTTCCAGAAAGGCCAGGGTCTACGCCAGGACGGCTCCGTGGGGTGTCCTGTCTGTGGCCCACGGGTGGGAATCCCAGGACGTGAGGGACAGACACTGAGGCTTCTGCAGAGAGGTGGGCATCCCAGCCTGACTGACCAGATGCGGACCAGTCGGTGCTGGCCCGAGGCCCTGTGAGGTGCCGTGTGCTATCCGTGTGCTATGGTTTGGTGGCAGGAGATTCCTCTCCCCTGTATACTTCACTGGATCGATCTTCACCAAGATCATTTACACAATTAGTCAGTTTAAAGGTGTACACTGTTGCACTGGACGCACAGTTTCTATTGTTCCTGCTTTAACTTTCGCTGTGTGTAATTATACACAGAGGGGAGCCACCTCGAGGTCACATTCTCACAATCTACTGCCGAGATGGTCGTGCCTCCACTTGTCCCAAACGGGAGCCAGGCTGTGGCCACACTCAGCATCACAGCTCAGAGTGGCACAGGGGAAAATCCTGTGTCTCACAGTCAGGACTTAAATCTCCGTCACTGTCACACAGGGAGCAGGGCAGCGGTGGAGCCAGTGACCCCTGACCTGTGGCAGAAGCTCCAGCTGGCATTGTGGTCACAGCCCTCTGAGGGCGGGTGTGCTGCTGCAGGGAGAAGGCTTGTGGCTGGGGCTTAGAGATCCCTCTGCCCGTCCGCAGCACTCACAGAGTGCTGGCTCTTCCGAAGCCTTGGGGAGCTCCGCTGATGGTGTGCACCAGGTACTGACGCCAGGTCCCTGGGCAGAGCTCGCGCTCTCCCACAGGGCAGCCTGTGAGGTTTGTCCAGAGTAGCAGGGCCATGATGAGCCCATGGCAGGGGTGGGCAGGGAGAGATCAGCAAGCTGGTGCCCAGGCAGACAGCTGTGCCCTTATGTGTGACATCAACCTGGCGGGGAGGGTGACAAGGACTAGGGCTGCCAGGGCGTGCAGCCATCTCCCCGGAGCTGCTCTGCCAATGGTCACCTGCTGGCTGATTCACTTCCTCTCCACATCTGGTCACTGAAATCACGAATACCAAGCTAACTGCGTGAATATTGCAAGTATATCAACACACTGCATCTTAGACAGAAGGGGATGAGAGGAAGGGATGACGTGAAAACGCACCTACCGCGGACAGGCGTGCATTTGGATCCACACAAGGAAGGACCAGCCCGGCTGTGGCCTCATCTGGCTGCTGTTCACTCACTTGTTCCCCACCTACCACACACCCTCTGTCCTCCCCAGGGGCCCAGGGTGACCTGCTGTCCTTCCTGGGTGTCCAGGACTGTCCCCGGACTGTGTGGACCAGTGTCTTATACTTCTTCATGACCTGTAGTGATGGAACATGGGGTACAAAGAGACTCTGCATCTCTGACGTAATTCTTCTGACTCCAGCTGGGTAGCAGCAACGTACTGCACCCTGGTGGATGCGCTCTTCTTCCTGGAACTGACTTCAAGGCCGGCGGAGCATAAATCCTTGGAGACAGAAAGTGGAAACTTGCTAGTGAGAAACTTGGGGTAGTGGTGACTGTTCCAACCCCTGGGTTCCTGGGCTGGTGAATCCTGGCAGGGCATCAAGAGTACCGTGCCCTGGGTGCCAATTCAGAGCACAGAGCTTCCTGGAGAAACTTGCCTGGCCCTGCAAGGTGTTGGGACTGTGTCTTCCAAAGGCCATCCCACACTCTGTCAGCCAGTGGCGCAGGCGGGTAGGGAGCAAGGCGGGGCCGCTGGCGGGTGTGCTGTGCTTCTCTGGCTGTTGATGCCCTTCTCTGGCTGTGAGCTGAGTCCTTGGGCAGAAGCTGCGCCGTGTGGAGTAGTGGAACAGTGCACGGACTGAGACCTCGGAACCATGATCCAAAACAGACCTTTCCTCCCAGTCAGTTGAGGTCTCTCAGACATACTGTTACAGTGACAGAAAGCTTTCTAACACACTACCCCCTCGAGTCCCAGGCACCACTCATCCTCTTCTGTCTCTGGAGTTCCCCTTTTCCAGGAAGTCATAGAGTTGGCCTCGACCTGGCTTCTCTGAGTCAGAAACGTGTATCTAGGTTTTCTCCACGTCTCTCCATGGATGAGTCCTCATTTCTTTATCCCTCATACCAGTCCATGGCCTGGGTGCTCCAGAGTTTGTTATCATTTACTTCCAAAGGAAGACACCTTGTTTGCTTCCAAGTGGCAGCAGCTGTGGATAAAGCTGCTGTAACACTCATGTGCAGATTTTTGAGAGGACGTGAGTTTTCTGCTCATCCGAGTAGGTACCACAGTGTGAGATCACTGCACATGCGGTAGCGACACATTTCCTGCTGTAAGAAGCCGCCGCCTGCCATCTGAGGTGGGTGTGGAGGCATAGGTAAGTCACTTAAGCTCAGCGAGTCATTAAACTTCTCTGACACTTGTCAGTTGTGAACAATCAAACAGTTGCTGAGAAAGTCAAATGAAATAAAACATTTAAGGCATTTTATAAATGCTAGTATTTCCAAATGTTAAATATTATTTATTTTGATACTCTACTTCTGAATTATGGTAGCTGTTATACAGATCAGTTGTACTTACTAATTTTAAGTGGGATATAACAATTTTTTTTTCTGTGTTGGTTATTTCTGTGCATAATGTCAGTCAGCAGGAAAAGCAGATTTTTCACGAGTGAGGACTGGCTCTAGTTCTTTCCTGAGATGACCGGAGGGATGAGGACGGTAGTGCACTGCAGTGTGATGACTTGCTGACAGATGTCCGTCCTGTGAAGCCGCCCTGTGGGTGTAAAATGAGCCACCAGGTCTCTCATACCCAGGCATTTACCTGGCAGGACTCAGGACCGGGGCTTGGGAACGTGCCAGGTTCCTTCACCCTCGTTCTCTGGGCGCTGAGGATTTAAAGGCACTCAGATCTCTGTGTTTCTGTCAGAATACAGCCAAAAAAAAAAAAAGCCTGGGGACGAATGCACCTCATTGCTGTACAGTCACTTTCCAAGCCAGCGGTGTCCTGGGCACCGTCATCCCTTCCTCTAGGCCTGTGCAGGGGGCGGCCCTGGGGGCTGCAGATCCTTCCAGAAAGAGGACTTGGGAGCACGAGGGCAGTGTGGGCCGCAAGGGCATGGAGCAGGCCACATGCTGGGCAGTCCCGTGGAGATGGCGCAGGAGGCCCCTCCTTTCAGATGTCAAAAAGACATCTGAGCGGGGACCAGGTGCACTTCACAAATGTATGGAACTGGAAGCTACACTGAGTCACACACCAGCGAGCATTAGGAGCCCCTGTTTCGGGTATGATGATTATTACTACTTTTACCATAAACCCACTTGTAATTCAAACCCCGTCACAACACGATAGTTGACCCTATGTGTTGTGGTGGTTGGGGCTGCCTGCATGGTTCAGGGGTGCTGCTGCAGCTGCTGCATGTGTGTGTGAATCTTTTGGCTCCTTGGAGGCTGGTGTGGGAGGCTGCGGGCTACATGGGGGGACCTGGCCTCCCGGAGCACAAAGCAGGGCGTGGTCTTCCTTTGGTCCAGGGCACTCTTCCTGCTCTGGACGGCAGAACGCCCAGCTCTCTAGCACTGGGACTCAGGAGTTCACAGTGACCCCCTCAGTACTTCCCCTTTAGCTTCAGGCGAGCACTGCATCATCAGTGTCCCTGGTTCTAAACCTGCTACCAGGCGTACAGCATCCCGGGTGTCCAGCCTGCAGATGGCCTGGCACTGACTTCTTAGCTTCATAACCCCGAGTCGATTCCCCCCCCTGCCACGCCCCTGCCTCCTCTGGCTCTCCCTCCAGCTCTCCATTTCTTTCTTTCCGTTCTTATGTCCCACTCTCTCTCCATCTCTCGCAGTGGCTCATCTCTCTAGAGAACCTTGACTAATGAACACAGGTTTAGGAATGGCCTGTTTGTATCACTTGTACTTTTTTAAAAAGTTAAGAATCTTTTGGCTTAAGAGCCTAAACAGTTACTACTGAATTCTTTAAGAACTTCAGAGAAAATCTAACACCAATACTCCTCAAACTCTTTAATGAAGTTGAAAGGAAAGCAATACTCCCAAAGTCATTCCTGGCAGCAAGCATTACACTGATTCCAAAAGCAGAGAAGGACCCAACCAAACAGAACTACAAGCCAATTTTAATGACCATAGATGCAGAAATCCTCAAAGATACTGGCAAGCAGAATCCAACAGATCAACAAAAACAAATGTATGTCTATACATCATGACGAAGTAGGATTTATTCTAGGAATGCAAGAATGGTTCAACATATGCAAACTAACAAATGTAATATACCTCATAAACGGAAGCAAAGACAAAATAATCCCACATGATCTCAGAGATGCAGAAAAAGCATTTGAGAAGATCCAACATCCATTCCTGATAAAAAAAATCCTGAAGAAAGTAGGTGTATGTTAGGTTTGATACATTGTGTCAACTTGAGTAGTTTAGAAGTTTGACTAAATGACTCAGCAGGAGGCCAGGGTCCTTCCTTTGTAAACATCCTCATCCTGTGCAGGAGGAGGGCAGGAGATGGTGTGAGTGCTATCCCCACCTCTGGGGCTGAAGCCTGCTTACAGTATAAGGGTGGAAAAGAGGCTTGTTGTGTCCCTTTGCTCTTGCTGCTTTTGCTGTCTTCTGCTCCTTGAAGTGTTGCCCCTGTGCCCTGCCACCCTGCCTTGGAGCCAGCTGGGTATGGACTGAAACCTCCACAGCTGTGAGCTAAATAAACCTCTCCCTCTTTAATTTTGGGTGTCACGTTTTATTGTCTCAGCAAGGAGAGAAAAGTAACCAAGACAGTGTAGAAGGTCTTTATCTTAATCTGATAAAAGTTATCTATACCAATCCAGTGGCTAACATCATACTAAAATGGAGAGAAGCTGAAAGCTTTCCCTCTAAAGTCAGGAAAGAGACAAGGATGTCTGACAACACCACAACAGTTCAACATAG